TATCTCTGGCACTGCATGGGTCGGGGTCACCTTCTGAGCGAAACCAGCAGCTTCTCACTCTAATCAAGTGTCGCCGCGTTTGGTGTCACATACTTGGTGTACTTTTATATAGAAGTTCCTTCCTCCTCTCCCAGCCCGGTGCTAATTTAGCGAATGATTTAACTGTGATCGGGGTCACCAGCTGCGATCGCTGCTGCAATGAGAGACTCTCCAGAGTCTCTGGGTAGCCCTCAGCAACTTTACAACTTTATTTACCCAAATAACTTACAAGATACAACAATTATGGCTTTGATTTAGACCTGCAGCGTGGAGAAAAAGGAGCCGACAGCACTGTCCGTGGGCAGGCACTGGCCAAAGGCTTCAATCAGCAGCGGTTCGGCGCTGACTGTGGCCATGAAATCCTCCAGCGATACCTAAATGGAAATGCGTTTAGAGAGGTGGGAGTCCTAAGGGGGAATACCTTTACCTTGCCATCCTTGTCTAGGTCAAATTTCTTGAGTACAATCTCCACGAGATCCTTGACACCCTCGTCGGGATCCTCGTCCTGCGGCTGCTTGATCAGACAGTTGCGCAGCAGCGTGAACATCTCATCCTTGGTTATGAATCCATCCTGATTGAGATCGTACACCCGAAAGCAGAAGCCCGCCCGCTCCGTCGAAGTGCCGCGCAGAAATGTCGAGAGCCCAATCAGCCAGCCCTCGAGCCGGAGCGGCAGGCCCTCGTGTGCCTTGTCCCAGCTGCAGAAGATGCGCTCCATCAGTATCTCCTCGGTGACAATGTCGAAGGTGCTGTGCAACAGCTCCCGGAACACAATGCGATCGATGCCCTCGACGGCTGCATGGGGCTTGGCAATGGCTGCGCTGGAAGAGCTCGAGGCCAGCGTCTTGGCCGCGTACTGGCAGTTGGACACGAGCTTCCGATAGATGCGGCACAAAGCATCCAATTCATCTCTGCAACGAGGGTTCGACATGCTACAGGATTGCACCAAAGGGGAACTGAAACTCACTTGCTGAAGCGCGTCTTCTTGCGTAGAGTGTCGAGCAGCTTTGGATTTATTTTGCCGCTTAGCTCCTCCATTCTCCTTTGGCGCAGCTGCCGCTTGTTCTGCAGGGCAGCCGCGGCGGCCTTCGACTGTTGGTTGCTCGAGTTACGTTTGCCGCTGGCAAGGAACACGGAGACCGTTTTCAGTATCGTTTTGTTCGCCTGTAGTGTGGATCTGCCGGCTGTTGTTGCTCCGCCACCACCTGAAGTTGCACCACCAACTCCACCTCCAGCTGCGGCTCCACCTACAGTGACGCCCCCACCATTATCACGATTGGGTGTCGGCGTTGGCGAACGACCCTTGGTGGCGCCTGCCTTGCCTGCAACAAAACAAATTCCCAATACATGGAAATGATTCCACTTTGTGTGTAAGTTTCTGTTGGGTTGGGGTTCTAGCCCCTGTTCCTTCCTTATGTGTCAAAGCCAACACGCTCATCCAAACTCCCGAGTCACTTTCAATATGTCAGTATGTGGCACAAAGGGAGAGCAAACAAAAGGCAAAAGGCAAGAGGCAAAAGGCCCAAAATGCAAATTCCTACTGCCAAATGGGTAATGGCTAATGGCACATTCACATTTTAGCCAGCCAGCGGGACTGCAATGAGCGTACACTGAGAGAAACATGAGGGAAACATTTTTTACAATCTAAGGGCAGTAAAATGGGTTCTTGGCCATGATTTATGGATCAAAAGTGGCGTAGATGTGTCCAAAACAGCGATACAAAAAAAGAAACTCCTGGTGCCACTTTTCAGAAGACTTTTCTATTTGTCAAGAGAGATTTCTGCCAGTGCACTCATATTCTTCTCTTGTGCTCCCATCAACTCTTTCTCTCTTTCTCTCTCTCTCTCTCACTCTATCGGAGAGTGGTGGGGCTAAGGGTGGGTTTTCCCGTACTGCATTATTGTATCGTGCCCGAACTGGCGATATTTCATTTGTTTTCACCTCACTCCCGACTCTTGTATGCAATTCCGTTGCGCAAAATGTTATTATCTAGTGATTACCCACGGAAGAGTAACGGGGAGTAACACAGAGGGAGGGAGTACACACACACACACACACACACACACACACACATACACTCTGTCTGGCTATAGCTTTTGCCCGTCTATATTTATGGTCGTCTCCGCCCTTGGCACTATAATTTTATTAGCATTTCCATTTGTGTGTTCGATGCGTGTCAGTGTCGTAGACGAACCAAAGTACACATGTGTGTGTGTGTGTGTGTGTGTGTGTGTGTCTTGTAATTTTGTTGATTTTTAACCATTTGCCCCAGCCGATCCGGTTGCCCGGTTGCCACACAAACAAATCAAACCCGGATTGCAGGTGCTTTTACTCGATTTGCACGTCCACTGACAGCACTGAAGGCAGAAAATCAAACATGTTTGGACTTGGCAGTGCATCACACACACACACACACACACACACAGACGCGAGAGAGAGAGATGCACATGAACTTGGACTTGGCGAATGTTAGCTGATAGTTGGCCAAGACCTCTCCGTCCAAGCAGTTGAGTTAGCTTTGGGCACGGAGCAAAGATCTGGAGGTACAGTTGCCAACAAAACACACACAAAAAAGAAAGCCACCAACAGGCAGGCAAGTAATTTCTTGGCATCTGTTATTTTTCCACAGTTGAGGAGCAAAAAGGAGGAGTGGAAAGTCAGGCAGCCAGGCAGCGTGCGCTGCAATGTATGCTACGATAATTGTCGTCTTTCTAGGGCGTAATTAAAGTTTAAATTGCTCTGCGACACACCCACCACACAGACACCACACACATACACACAAGCGAGATAGAGAGAGAGAGAATTGTTGTTAAAGATCTTTAAAGTAGATATGCACCCATGGTCTAGGTTGTTGTTTATTTTGATCGCCCGATAGACTCCACGCAGGAGCGTTAAAGCGTGTCCCTCGGCCCGTTTGGGCACATCCACAAATGGCAAACGGCTCCAACACACAAAAGGAATCAACAAACGGCAACTTTCCCTCAGTTTCCAAGGCGAAGACAGTTCACAGAGCCTCCGAAAGGCGCCAAGTGTGTGCTGACAGTCCGCAGGCATTGGCAGTTGGAGTAGGTAAGGGTAGGTGGGACGCCCTAAGAACTCTACGAACTCTGAGCAAACTATTGACAAAACACGGCCAAGACGAGACAAGCCCAAAGGAAAACTTTCGTCAGCCATCGGGCAGCATTGTCAACATTTATTTCTGTTTTTCTGTAACAACATTTGTGGTATAATTGATGCCGTACTGTGAGCCGACACAGACCCAGACCCTGTACTAGCTAGCCGGATCTAGCCGGACTTCGGTGTCGATTGCTTTCCATTACGTTTCATTTATGCATATTTTGTAGCCAGTTTACAATGTGCACTCGTTTATTTTCTCAGCGTTTTAGTGTAAACTTAGGCATAGAATACGGTTATACATACGGTTCGTAGGGCTAGTTAGTAGTAATACCTATGTAAATACCTCTAAATAGTACAGTAGATCGGTAATCGATAATGCCTATGGCTATAGCTATAGCTATAGCTATCGTATGTATGTATATTTCGCCCATCATCTCCCGACTTGCACCGCGCATCCTCTTAGTTCATTTCCAATATCAAGCACAAAGTTATCAAGAACAGAGAGCGAGACAGATCTCTCTCTCTCTCTATCTCTCGCCTGTTCGATTTGGACCCCAAATGAAGGAACCAAAAACACAAAAGATACTCGTTAATAAAAAACAGATTTTGTTTTGGCTTAAACACAGGTGGCATAAGTTAGACATATAAGTTATTGCATTTAATTACACGCTCATTAGAATCCTATTTTAAAACATTACATAATAACCGTATGGATAATATTAATTAACAAGAAAAGAACTGCAACGTTTAATTGTATCTCATAATGCTTCAATTCTTTTAGGATTTGTCTTGGTTGTCTACTAGTTCTCTATGTACGTTTACGTTTACTTTTACGCTTGCGATCATCGCTTCTGGGCAGGGCCAGGGCCAGGGCCAAGGCTGCTAAGTCAGATTGGATTCAGCGAATTTGCTTTTAACTGATTTCTACACAATTACTTTTGAATTGGAAAGGGCCTACAGAACGGGGACGATTTGCCAATAAGGCAAACACACACACAAGCGAGAACATACAATTTAAAATACTCGTCGCACATTTCGTTGATCTACTCGCTCGTAGTCAGAAGCAATCCTTGCTCGGGGGTCTCGTTAAAATATACTTTATATGTGGGATTGTGGGTCTTTGGGGATAATGATACAGAACTTGCTGTTGATGGTGGTAATTGGTATTTCATATCGATACGTTTGCACTTTTAGCATAATTGTTATGCTTTATGCTTTATAGTTTGTGTTTGTGTTTATGTTTATGGTTATGGTTATGGTTATGGTTATCGTCATCGTCTGTTTAGTGCCAGACCAAGGCCAAAAGCAATTTTGGTTTCATCATTATCCGATTTGTTCCGACTTCAGTTATATTCTTTTGATCCGCTGTTTTTGCCTTTGTATCTGTCTGTCTGGCGACATTGTATTGCGTGTGTGTACATTACTTATTAGAACCATTTCATTCCACTTCATATTTATGCTCCTCTCCGGTATGATCCTTTCCGTTTCGGTTTCGCTTCGACACGAGATCCTCTGCTCCCTGGTAACATCTTAAACGTTTCTTTGTTATCGGTTTTCCCTTCTTTTTGTTTACTTTTTATCAACTACTAAATGGCTTAACTAAGAGTTTTCAAATCTTGTTTTGTTTGCGCTTAAATATAAATTTATATATATATATAAATATATTTATATATATATATGCATACAGTATATATATATATATATATATATATATCTATACATATGTGTACATATATAATGGTTGGTATGCATGTGCATGTCGCATCACTCTCTATCTTAAAATTCAATTATCATTCCTAGATATATATATATATTTATATATATATGTATAATTTTGTTGCCGTTTGCCGTTTGCTGTTGATTTGTTGATTTGAAAGATCATCGTCATATCCAAAAAGGCAGAGATGCAGAGCGAGAGAAAAGATAGAGAGAGAGAGATAGCGGGAGACAGAGACGGAGACGGAGAAGGAGAAGAGCTGCGCTAAAGCTTTAGTATTAGGCGTTTGTCGTTAATGTTAATGATATTTGATTAGAGTTAAACCGATATTATAACTCCATGTCCCTGGCCTCGTCCTCACTGTAGTCGGACATGCTCGACTCGCTGTCGCTGCTCTCTCGCTCCTGTTGCGCCGCCCGCAGCGCATCCTCGGTGGCATAGCGTTGCACATAGTCGGCCACCTTGCGATGGTACTCTTCCGGCTCGTGCAGGTACAGGGCGGCGGCATCCCGATTGAGCGGATCCACCGGATTCGGATATGTGAGCAGCTGCGGCAAAAACGACTCGAATATGTTCGATAGGTCGTACAGGGCCGTCCAGGCCTGATTGATCACATCGAGGCAGACCGTCCCAGACGATTCGTCAATGTTCGGATGGTAGATTTTGTTCACGAACCCAATGCTCGGCGACTTGAAGGGATAGTTGTCGGGCAGATAGACGCGAACCTTCCACACGCCGCCCTCGTAGGGTGTCTCCGGCGGACCGAAGAATTTCACATGGAACTCGTTGAGGCCCCCAAGAATGGTGACCTCGTGTTTTGATTCAATCAATTTGATCACGTCATTGTCCATGCGACGTTTTCCAGCACTGGGCGACGACATATTTGTAACTGTAGCTTTTGATTGACTTTCTTTTGGATTAGGTTGAAGAATATTATAGTTTCTGTTCGATCTCGATCTCTCTTGTCCTCTTCTTGTCGTTGTATTTTCACTAAGGCTAAGGCGGTGTTTGTTTATTTGTTTGTTTCTTTCTCTGTGCTTTTAACTTTCTATTTTTGTTTTGTTTTGTTTTGTTTTGCTTTGTAGATTGTAAATGTTGTTATTGCTGTTCCGGTTCCTGTTCGTGGTGCTATTCTCCTTCTGTCCGCGTCCTGTTGCACGGCTCCTTCCTCCGCATTCGTCAACTCTCACACACACAATCCAGCGCAATCAGAAACGTCGCTAAGGGGCGGCTGCCTAGAAAAGCGAGAGAGAAATGTATCAGCATGTGGGAATACTAATTTATCTTTGTGGCTATAACGGGGATTTTAATTAACATTTGAGTGGCTTTGCAGGAGCAGCAGCAGTTGACCCCCCCCCCCCCCCCCCCCCAACACTCAACATACAACGCGCACCACACATCCATGTTAGTTTGTTACCTAGATTTCTCTCTATCTAACCCTACTGCCTACCTTCGTTATCATAAA